GTGGGGGGGGTGAAAAGCTCACGCAGGCCCAGGAGCAGGGGTTGTGAGCGTGGAGTCGGAGCTTGGAGTATGATGCTGGCCAGGCGAGGAAGGACCATCACGCACCGGGGGCCTTTCCCACGATGCGCTGTGGAGCTGGGGCAGGCCACCTGGCTGCCCTGTTCCCTGGGGACACTGTCTTAGTTCTCCATCGCCATGTAACAAATTCCCCCACAGCTCTGCGGCTTGTCCTCCTGAGCCTCGATGTGGAGAAGAGAGCTGAACTAAAGGGAGGGAGGGAAAATGCTCCGGGAAAACACTGATGGCTCCATGTGATGGTGTCTGCACAGCCCCAGTTACTGCCCAGATACACAGGAAACAAAAGCTGGGCGTGTGTGTTGTGGGTGTGGGTGTGGGTGTGGGAAAGCGACCCCTGGCTTTGAACTTGAAGGCCTGNTGGGTGTGGGTGTGGGTGTGGGAAAGCGACCCCTGGCTTTGAACTTGTGGCCTGCTCCTCAGCCTGCTGCTGACTTGGAAGGGTTACACCCCCGGAAATGGGTGCAGTGTGGCCAGGGCCGCACCCTGCTGGGCCAGAAGGGGTCCAGGTCCTCGGGGAGGGGTTGGGGGAGGCTCTCCTGATCCTTCCTCCACCTGGTTCATGCTTCTTAGTCGCTTAGGTTGGGCTCTGGCCCCTCCTGGGACAGAGGGCTCTGAGAATCCACTTGTCCACCCCAAGGGGCTTCCACAGAACAGGCCTTTAGGAGAGTGGCCAGATGTTGTCCTGGAGGACCTACTGCTCTTAGACAAGCTCCCTGCCTCCCCATCCACCACCGGTGTCACCGAGAGGGGTAGATAGGCTGCATGAATGGGATATGTTTGGCTCAGGAGCCCCAGGCAGTCTGCTTGTGTGTGTTTGTATGTATGGTGTGTTTGTGTGTCTGTCTCTGTATATCTCTGTGTTTGTGTGTGTAGTATATATATGTGTATGTGTATATGTGTGTGTGTATGCTATGTGTGTATGTGTATAGGTGGCATGTATACGAATGTGTGTACACGGTGCGTTGGCAGCTGAGCAGATAATGGGACTCGAGCTGTCTGTCTTCTCCAGCAGCTGAGTTGCCCATCTCAGCGTTACCTTCCTTGCCCCACATTCCCGCCCCACCACCTCTGGGCCTTCTTTTTCCTGGTCTTCCTACAGGTGGCCCCTCTGCTGGACTGGAAGGCCCATCCATGCCCAATCCCCAGAGTGAATGCCCATTTAAATTTGAATTTAAATTAATTAAAATGAAATAAAATTTAAAATCCAGTTACTTATTCACATGAACCACATGTAAGTAAGTGTGGTTCAAGTGATCAGTGGTCAGTGGCTGAGGGCTGTCTGGCGGATAGCACAGAACAGAACATTTCTGTCCCGTTAGAAATTCTGATGGACAGCACTGATCTAGAGATCCCCAAGGAGAGAAGTGTGTCCAGGTAGCTTCTGCCACCTCTTTAGCTCCGGTCATGGGACAGCTTGCCCTGATACCAGCTCAAGTCCTCCCAGTAGCACGTCCTCCAGTTTCATTGTCCCTTCTGCCCCACAGATGGGGCCATTGGTAGTCACTCCCTATCATCCTCCTTCCAGCCCTTGGTAACCACTAATTTACTTTCTGTCTCTATGGATTTGCCTATGCTGGATATTTCATATAAATGGAATCATACAATATATAACATTTTATGACTGTTTTTTTTCACTGAGCATAATGTCTTCACAGTCCATCCACGTGGTCACATGTATCTTGCTTCACTCCTTTTTATGGCTGAATAATATCCCATTGTATGGACAGGAGAGATCACCTTTTGTTTATCCGCTCATCTGTTCATGGACATTTGGGTTGTTTCCACCTTTTGACTCCTGTGATTAGTGCTGCTATGAGCATTAATGTACAAGTGTTTGAGTGTTTGTTTTCAATTCTCCTGGGGAGATGCTCAGGAGCGGAATTGCTGGGTCATGGTAAGTCCACATGTAACTTACTGTGCAGCAGCCAGATTGTTTTCCTAAAATCCTGACTATTTCTCCCTCTCTGCTTATTACTCTTGGTAGCTCTCTTGTGCATTCACTTCCCTGCCTGTTCCACCTCTGTCTTCCCTGCCAGCTGACCCTTGCTTGTCTAGCTTACCACAGTCTCCCAGAACCTGGCACAGTTCCTGGCGGCACATAGTAAGTGCGCCTGTGTGGAACAACTGAGTGACCTGTGCCTTCTCCTCTGTCTCACCCCAGGCTCGTGAATGAGGTGTTCACCATCGATGACACGCTGCAGACCCTCAAGCTGAGGTTGCGGGAGACACAGGACACGCTGCAGCTGCTGGTGATGACCAAGTGCCGGCTGGAGCACGAGCTGGCCATCAAGGCCAACACCCTCTGCATTGACAAGGAGAGGTGCTTGGCCATGCGCAAGACCTTCCCCAGCACCCCGCGCTTGGTGGGCTACACGTGAGCTGGCGCCGCTGGATCCTCGGTGCCCTGCTCTGCGCCAGTTCCTCACACGGCATAAAATTTGAAAGGCAAACAAATGAAATAAAAGTGTTGTTTTTCTCCCTTTCCTCTTATCATGAAAAAAATATATATATATAGATATATGTCAAAAATAAACGTGCCCAAACCAAAGATCCTGGCACTCATTCCTTGCTGTAGAACCCGCCTCGTGGCAGATCCAGGAAGGAGACATTGTGACCCCTGGGATGGAGCAATGTGAGGTTGTCAGCATCCCCAGGAACAGAAGAGGCCATATTTCATAAAACCTGTTTGCCCATTTAGGAGCACAGTATAGACAGACTGTGGTGTCCAGAGACTGGACACTAGAGATGAGAGTCCACAGCCCACCTCTCAGGAGCTGTGGGCCTTGAACAGGCTTCCAACCTGAGTATTCTCATTTATATGAGATCAGTCTACGGTGGAGGTGATTGTCAGCTGTGAAGAGTGCAAAAAGTAGGATTCGGAGTCAGAAGTCCTGGGTTTGAAACTCGGCTTTGCTGGATTGGGTGTTTTAGAGATTGATATGGGGAAAGGAGGCAAAATCAATTTTGTGGATGGGGCAGGAGGTGGCAGGAAAGGGTTAAAAGAAAGCTCTATGAAGAAGTGACATTACTTGAAAAAGTTAAATTAGAATTACTGTAAGACCTAGAAATTCTATTCCTGGGTATATAAGCAAGAGCACTGAAAACAAAGACAAAAAAACTAGCACACGAATGTTCATAGCAGACTAATCACAATAGTCAAAAGGTAGAAACAACCCAAATGTCCATCACTGGATAAATGGGAAAACAAGATGTGGTCTAGCCATGCAATGAAATATTATTCAGCCATAAGAAAGGAATGAATGGTTTTGGGTGGTGGGCACACAACGCAATATACAGAACATGTATCACAGAAATGCACACTTCAAACCTACATAATCTTATTAACCAGTCACCCCTCCCCCAAAACAAAAGAAAGAAACAAACAAAAAAGAGAAAAGAAAGAAATGAAGCGCTGATCCATGCTACAACACAGATGAACCTTGAAGACGATGCTAAGTGAAAGAAGCCATACGCAAAAGGTCACATATTGTATGATTCTGTTTATATGAAATGTCCATAATAGGCAAATCCGTAGAAATAGCAGATTGAAGGTTGCCGGGGAGAGAGGCATGGGAAGTAACTGCTTAGTGGGTACAAGGTTTTATTTTGGAGTAGTGAAAATGTTTTGGGACTAGATAGAGGTGGTTGCACAACATTGTAAATGTGCTAAATGCCATTAAGTTTATTTTATATTATGTGAAATTCACCTCAATTAAACAAGAGGAGAAAGAAGTACTATTACAGCTGAGTTTTGAGTGATGAGGTTGAGGCAGAAGAAGGTGGAGTTTCTGGAGAGGGGAATAGTCTGGAAAAAGGCAGGGAGCTGGATGGAGGAGCTTTTGGAGAGGCCTGTGAACCATCTAGAAGGGTCATGAGGCCAGATCTAGTTTTGACTTTTTTCCTGAGGTCAGTGTTTCCCAAATTTTGTTATTCACATCAGTGCTTACCGGTGTTTAATGTGCATATGAGAATCACCTGGAGACCTTGTTAAAATTCAGATTCTGAGTCATTAGGTCTGAGGCGGGGCCTGAGATTCTGAATCAAGCTCCCAGATGATGCTGACAGCACATGGACCACACTTTGAGTAGCAAATAACACCACCTCAATTTTTGCCACAAACAAGAACCACCTTAACAATTATTCACTCCATCTTTTAGATTGTTGCACTTAAAAAAAAAAGTCCATTTATTTTATTTTTTAAAATATGTTTTTAAATTGATTTTAGAGAAGAAGGGAGAGGGAGAAAAACATGGATGTGAGAGAGAAACATCGATCGGCTGCCCCCCACATGCACCCCTGACCTGAGGACACTCCCTGACCAGGAATCAAACGGTGACCCTTAGGTGCTAGGGGTGACCCTCAACCAACTAAGCCACACCGGCCAGGGCAAAAGTCAATTTATTTAAAAGCAAATTTATAGCATGACTGTAGCAGGAAACCTGCCTTGCCCAATGTTGAACAAAACAAAATATTGTTAATGATGTCTGGTTAGGGAATATTGTCTGTCCAAGGTAACATTACCTAAAATCTTTTCTTTTGTTCAAAAGGGAGAACAGCCAGCAGGTCCTAAAGAAGAGGTAAAGACCGCTTAGCGTCCAGGGGAGACTCTCCTTGAGGCAAATCTGCTTGAAAGAGGAGAGAAAAGTCAATTTTCCTACAAACTAGTAGGGATCCCTAAAGTGGGGATGCAAAATGGACAGATTGGTGTTTTAGCAATAATTCCTTCATGAGGAGCAGAAGAAATTTGGAGGGAGGTGGGGACAAGCTGTTAGAATTGCAGGCACAGGGCAAAGAGGGCCTGGGTTAGCACCGGTGCGTGAGGAATATTCATGGGGTGGGAGCCAGAATCCTCTGAGTGTGGGTTGTCAGGGGCAAGTGGGAGACCAGATGGGGCAAAGATGCCAGGCTAGGGCAGCCGGTGCTTGGGACTGCACCCTAGAGGAGGGGAGGGAGTGGGCAGTAGATAGAGGCAGAGGGAAGTCGATTGACTCTTGCACACGTGGAGTTTGACTCATGGTCCTGAGGAGCGTCCTGGTGTGTCTGAAGGGCAAGTGGCAGTGTGGTCTTAGAGCTCAGGCCAGGGGCTGTGCCTGGGGATGTGGGAGAGATCCAAAGCCTCGGGCACAGGTGGCCTGGAGCACGGAGAGCCTCGAGAGTAAAAGAGAGGTTCACGGGTGGAATGTGATGCTGGGGCGGGCGGGGCCCGAGGGGGGAACAGAGAGAGCACAGCAAGAGGCCAACTGCCCGAAGAAGCCAAGTCAAGGGGCCTCAGGAAGAGCTGCAAGGATGGGGCTGTTCGCAGGAGGAATAGAGAAAGCCCTTTGGAAGCAGACATTCTAAATAGACCAGTGACCTGGACATCCACGGGTGTATACATTTTTGAAAAGCAAATTGGCCTGGCCAGGCTTGGCTCAGTGGCTGAGCTTCGACCTAGGATTCCAGGCGATCGGGGTTTGATTCCCGGTCAGGGCACATGCCCGGGTTGCGGGCTCGATCCCCAGTCGGGGGCGTGCAGGAGGCAGCCGATCAATGACTCTCTCATCATTGATGTTTCTATCTCTGTCTCTCCCTCTCCTTTCCTCTCTCTGAAATCAATAAAGATATATTAAAAAAAAGGAAAAAGAAAAGCAAATTGGAAATACGTGTCAAGAGCCTTAAAAAGATCCATACCATTTGGCTTATGAATGCCTTTCTTAAGACTCTGTCATTAGAAAATTGTCCCAAATGCGTTAAAGATTTATCACAGGCAACCTTTGAAAGTTATTCAACAGCAGGGAGCAGTTAAGTAAATTATAGCACAACCAAGTCATGAGTATTAAGTAGCCACAGAAGGGATGCGCACCAAATGCTCAAATGCTGGAGGGATAGGCTCGTGAGGCTGAGAGTGCGCAGGAAAAAAGATTGCACTGGAATGTTAACAGAGCCCATGATAAGCAACTGCTGGGCTCTTATTTGTTGATATTGTGAATTATCTAGGGTAAACATGTGTTCCCATACTAATCAGGAGGAAATGCATTTTTAAATAGACTTTTTATTTGGCATTCATTTTTTGATTTATGGAAAAGTTGGGGAGATGACACAGAGAGTTCTCATTTACCCTTCAGCGCCTTCCCCCGACGCTGGCATCTTATATAACTGTTTGCTATGGTGCATTTGTCCAAGCTAAGAAATGAATTAGTGCATTTCAAACTCCAGGATTTGTTTTTCCACCATGTATCCTCCTTCTGTTCCAAGATACAGTTCCAGGTACTGCGCTGCGGTGAGTTCTGAGTCTCCTCTGTCTGGGGCCTGGCCTCAGTCTTTCCTTGCTTTTCATGACCTTGACGGTTTGAAGAGTGCTTGTATTTGTAGGTGTTGGTCAGATGCCCCTGGATTTGTGTTTATCTGATGGTTTTCTCATTAGTCTGGGTTTAGAGGCTTGGAGGGAAGTGCCCTTGTCGTCCCTCGTATCAGGGCGTTCATGTTGTCCGCATGATGTTCTTGGGTCACTTGGTTAAGGTGGTGTCTGCCAGGTGTCTCCACTGTGAAGGGACTACTTTTCCTTTCTATACTCTATTCTTTGGAACTGAGTCATCAAGTTCAGCCCACACTCGAGAGCAGCTGGATTGAGCTTCACCTCTTGGAGGGGGAGCATTTACGTATATTACTTGTAACTTTTCTCTAATAAAAGTACGTCCCTTCACCCTATTTATTCTATCACTTATTTGTATCAATATGCACCCATGGACATGGAGTTAATACTTTGGGTTATAATCCAATACTAATTTAGACAGAGTGGGGCAAAAGTAGGTTTACAATTGCTTGTATGGAAAATAAAACAATAACTAATAATAATATAAAAATAAACTGTGCTTCACGTACTCACAACTGTAAACTTACTTTGGCCCCACCTTGTATGTACTATTTATCGTGTTGTTCAAATTGTTCCATCTCTGGCCATTGAGAACTCTTTCAGGTGGTTCCTGTGTCCTTTGACATGCCCCCATCCTTTCATTTGTTTTTCTGAGCACTTCCTTATTTTCTGGTACGATAAGATGCTCCAGGCTCATCTTGAATTTTTTTTCTGCTTCAGCCTAGAATCAGCTATTTCTCCAAGGAGCCCTGGTTTCTTTTATTGGAAAAATAGTATTTAGAAATCAAGATCTGGGTGCTGGATGTGCTTGTTGTTAAGAAGTTTAAAAAAAATATTTCTTATTGTGGTAAAAATCCACATAACGTAAACTTTATCATCTTAACCATTTTTTTTTCTTTNATCCACATAACGTAAACTTTATCATCTTCACCATTTTTTTTTCTTTTTTTTTTGTTGTTTAAAATATTACAGATGTCCCTTTTTCTCCCCAATGACCCATTCCACCCTGTTCCTTCCCCCTCCCCAGTCCCTCTCCC